TATTACAGTTCTACATAAAATGGAAGGCTGAACAATGCGTCCAGCGGACAGAAAGCCTAATCTTACAGAATAAGTTGAGTATAAAAGGCTTTAACTACCAAGTCAGAATTGTACTGTGTTTTATTGTCTGTTTACTGTAAAAGCTGTGCAGGTGTGACAAGGCCTGGAAAGAAAAAAAAGAAATCTTGCCTTGAAGTAATATTACAAATGGCAAGTTTATTTTGAACACAAACAGCCTGGCTCAACTGGCATCATTCTCTCCTCTAAGTCAGAAGGTTGAAGGTTCAAGTCCCATGTCTCACATCGGGACTTTGACTTCATAGTCTAGGCTGACGCTCTAGAGTACTGGAGAATCCTGCATTGTCAAAGGCACTGTCCTTTGGATGAGACGTGAAACCAAAATCCTGTCTCCCTATTCAAATGTACATAGATAATCACATAACACTACAACAATAAGGGAGTTTTTCCCAGTGTCTTGGCTAACAATCCCACAATAAATTGGCCACTCATTTCATGCTGTTTGGGGGAAATTGCCAAACTCAAATTAGCTGCCATGTTTGCCTACAAAATCCTATGAAGTACTTTGAGACATTCTCCTGTTGTAAAAGGACCTTTATCAAATGAAATGATTATTAATTTCTACTTTTCATTAAACCATCTGCATTACACAATATGAATGGAAACAGTTGTAAGAAAGAATTGTTGGCTGAAAATCAAAATATATGCATAATTCTTTAATGAATTCAAGTGTTATTCCAACTTTTTTCCCTATTAGTATGGTAAAAAAATCAGGAGCATGAATAGACATTTAGATTTGACTAATTATAATGCAGTTAGGCTGTGGAAACAAATAGTAAAGGCAGTTTCAAGAGGGAACTGAATGGGATTTTGACTATCACGGGGAACTGAATGGTATACAAGGTAAAGAGCAATGGTCCTTAAAAATGAAACTTGCCAAATGTACTGTAAAATTATATTTTCTGGTTCTATATATTCCTAATAAAAAGAAGCTTCAGCACAAAAATATTTTTTTATCCAGTGATTCCAACTGTCCCTTGAAAGCTCCACAACTCTGCCCACTAGGGCATACATGTATGCCCCTCCCACCTTCAATGCTACATCAAATGATTGCAAGATTGACAAAATCTTCATCTGATAGGAGTCACAGGTGCAAGCATGAGAAAATAAGATTTTGTCTTTAGCATAGGAGGTTAAATGAATGTACAGTACATTAAACCAGTCATTTTAAAATCTCTCTCAGTAGAGTACACGTTTCAATCAGTCAGATACATAACAGATTTTGAATACAGTACAAAGTTCCCTTGCACTCAGAGAAAATAGCCCTGAAGAACCCACAGCACTATTCGAAAGAGAAGAGACTGTCCCATTGCCCTGGCCAATAATCCTCCAGTTAAAATTGGTTGTTTGTTTTGAGACATAGCTAGGTGCAAACTTGCTGCCATGTTTGCCTAAAATACAGGTACTATACTTCAAAGAAACTTTGTGCAGCCATTTACATCCAGTTATAATATTAAAAAATCTTTGTAAGCGCATCAGGAGATATACTGCAAAGTGTAATGATTCTGTATTTTGAGGAAAACATGGCAGTCAATATGCGCACACAAATACTATAAGGGCTATTTCAAATGCAAGGATTATTATTTTATGAAAAACCTTCTCAAAAAGTAAAACTTGCAAAACATTTCCATTTATAGTTTTATCATCACAAAACACCAATACAGAAAGAGTTGTGAACTGCTCGGAGTATAACAAAAAGCTGCTAATATGTCACCATGCTAAGTGGTCCCCTCAGTTATAACAACTTTATGCGCACATAAATGCAAAAATGCAAAAATCAAATGCAAAAATCAAATGCAAGGATTATAAATGCTATTGGGGCTATTTCAAATGGAAGGATTATTATATTATTAACTTCCTGGTGCAAGTATTTTATGAAAAACACTTCTGAAAAAGTAAAACAAGTTGCAAAGCATTTCCATTTATAGTTTCATCACTACCACAGTTCAAGCACAATAGGCTGAATGGCCCAATTTTATGGTCAAATGTCTCATACTACTACTTAAAAACACATTTCAGCACCAAGTCTACGTTTACATTGTAGGGAGAGGGTGGGGGTAAACTTATCTTGCTCCCCACCCTTCCCTATTTTTCGATGGTTTTAAGATATTGAACAAAATCTAACTGGCGTATTCATGTGCATGAGCTATAATGCACAAAAATACACCAGTTATATTTTAGGCTGCACAATCGAAGAAATCGGGAAGTCATATCGGTGGCAACCTGATGACCCATATGTCAGCCACTTTTATTATGCAAAGTTGGCATGCTGGAGTGAAGTCAGCGGTGTCTATTTCTCATGATATGGTGTCAGCGATTTTGCTTTGGTCCCATTATAACACAGATTGTGTTTACTCACCTAAAACAAGACATAATAATGGGATTCTTCTGGAATATCACAGAATGATAAAATGCTTTTTCAGAAGCATTGAGCTGAAACTAGTTCAAGTCTGTCAACTGAAAATACTTTCAAAAAAATGCAGGTGTCAGCTTGGCTCAGTTGGTAGCAACTCTCCTGTGAGTTGGAGACCTGAGTCAAAAGGTTGTGGGTTCAAGCCCCACATTAGAACATACTTGACAGACTTGAACTAGTTTCAGCTCAATACTTTGATAATTCTCAACAGGAGTCCACTTTATTTTTTCTTTGATCGTCAGTCATAATGGGACAGTGCTGGGATAATGCTGCATTGTTAAAGGAGCCATCCTTTGGATGAGACATCAAACAGAGGTCTCGTCTGACTGTTCATATAGACGTTAACGATCTTGTGGCAATATTCAAAAAGAGAAGGGATTTTCTCCTTGTGTCTTGGATAAAAGTTCCTTCAGAATAAAAAAAAATGGTCACTTGATGGCTTTTTGTAGTTCAGTAATATGTGCAAAATTGCCGTGCTCTCCACAGTCACTACACTTCACAGTAAATTCTGTGAAATAGTTTGAAATGCTTCCTGACATGAAAGCCGCTATATCAAATGCATGATTATTATTGGCAGATGACCTCCCATGCAAATAAATCTTGTATTTTTATGGAAGCCTTATAATCAAGATGTCTCAAACACTTGATATACGTACTAGTCATTTTGGAAACAGCAAAATCCCCAATTATTCTACAGGACTATTGGCCAGTAGGGGAAGGAATGTTTTCTTTTCGAATCATCACATGGCATCCTTTATGTCCACCTGAACAGTCAGATGGGATTTCAGCTTTAATGATTTAATGAGTTAATGATGCATCATGCCTACAGTACTGCACATAAATGTCAGCCAGGACTATGTGCCCTCTGTCCCAACACAGGGCTTGAACCCACAACCTTCAGCCCCAGAGGGCAAAAATGGTACCAATCGACATAGGCTGACAATCCAAGTAAAAGGCACCACCAATAAGCATCCCATTAATTATCCTTGGTAAAGGAGCTATATAAATGCAATTTGCTGTTGTGTAGCTAGAATCAGTATTGTAGAACTAGAAACAAATATAAAACCATTAAAAGAAAGCAGATTTTTAACTCCTAGATAAGATTATGGAGCCCTTCAAATTTTCCAAAAGGGTACAGAGATCACAACTAGCTCATAATTAAAAACTGTCCCGTCTCAAAATGATATCCCTAAAATTATAATTTTGGGGGGGAAAAATAATTTTAAGCAGATTAAAACTTTGGAACCACAACATTAGAAAAAAATAGAATTCCCTATTTACAATTTTACAATGTAATTTTATCCAAATGATCAGTCTGACCAGCTCTACTACACCTTAACTTTATATATATATATATATAAATACAATATGATGCAGCCATCACCGGTGAGGAATCCATTAAACCCAATCTATGTCAAACCAGTCACCAAAGTAAAGAGGCGTTCAACAAGAACTTATTAAATATCACACGGGCAGATATCCCTGCGATCAAAGAGTTTTAGTTGTTCATCAAACCATCGCTCACACCTTATCATGGTTTTAAATTAGCATATAAAATCAGCTTGGGAGCAGACATTTTGTGTTGAATTCCTATCGTTCATGAAGTTCCACTTCAGTGATATTGTGAATAGTGGGCTTTGAGTAGCACTCCTTGCTCATACAACACAAGAGGATGTTCAACACAGACTGCTCCCAGGATACTTCTTAAAATCGTAAAACAGGGCAACATTGAGCAATAAGTAAATTTCAGTTAAATATGCTTTGCAGTACTTTAATACAGATTTAAATTTCGAACATCCTACATCAGAAGGAAAATTTAAAATCATAGTCAATGCTCCTTACACAAATTAATTAGCCAGGTGGTATGAATTTTACTGGCTATTCATTACCAGCCTAGCAAACGTAAAGTAGGCCAAGTCAATTTAAACTATACTCACTGAATATAATTATAATTTCAAATGCATAACGAAACAAAAATGTTACATTCCAATATAGTTTTACAGGTAAATACTGATTTTACTACACGTTGCACCGTTATTTCAGTAGCCCGGGCTACTTTAAATTTTGAATCAGAATTCAAACAACAAACCAAAAATAGATCATCTTAAATAAATGCATAATTTAAAACGCAGGCTAGTTGTAATAATGCAATCCAATGGTCACAAATCATGAGTCATCATTTGCCCATTTCATATATAAAAATACTGTCTAATGAATTTTATTTTTGATATTTTCTGCCAAACATGTGTCGGTCTTGAACATTACAGCGCCTTGGGACGTCCTCCTGACGTGAAAGGCGCTTTATAAATGGAATCTTGTTGTTGTTGTGGTTGTACAGTGTATAATTTGTACCTCAGTCGGTAATCCAGTTAACAAAATTAACACATTAAAGTAATATTAGATTACAATAAGTTAACTTACTTAAATCCACCAAAATATTAAGTTTGGAATTTGATTTTAAATTGAAAAAAATTGGAAATAGGAATACTTGGATGACTAAACCGCTTACCTTCTGATTTTAACTTTGTCAGAACAAAAATCAGGTAATTATTGAAGTCCGGATATTGATTTAGTTGCTCAAGTTTCTAGAGGGGAAAAGGAAGCTAAGGAAATATTGTGAAATAAGGTAATACAAAAACAATGAACACATCCGAAACAAAAATCATTTCCCGACCGAAATTACAGTTCGAGTCAGTGACAATCCTGGGCAGATGTGGGCTTTTTAGGCCTACAATACTGTAACGCCGTTCAAAAATATAAAACAAATCAGTGCAACGTGGATAATGGTTGTATTGACGGGCGAAGAATACATAAATGCGTCCCTATTAGTAAAGAAACATTTTATATTACGTCGCATCGGGGCCTTCGCTTCTCTTCCCCCCCACACTGCCTTGGTACAGTAAATACAACGTGAGACATGGCGAGCTGTGCTGAGCGAACCAGTCGTGTTATAAAACCATCAGTAAAGACGTTCCTAAAACTGCATACGCCACAAGCCTCAGGTTCAGCCTTAGCGGCCACATCTGCAGCCCACACGGGAGCCCAACACCCCCGGAATGGGGGGGGGTGAGGGAGGGGGCGGATTAAACTTTAGAAATGCACAACGATGCTTTCCACTGAAGAAGTACAGACATTTCAGAGTGTGTCCCCCTTCGGCCTCGCGGCTCAACCACGAGCCCGCGGCACCCGAACGCGCTCCGGTCCTTTGATGCCGCCTCAACTCGCGCACACATTCTCCCCCTCTCCCCCTCCCCCCTCCCCCCGGGGGGGGGTCTCGAATAACCGCGATCGCCCGAGAGGTCTCGCTCACCGGCGGGGCCGCCGCCGCCGCCGCCGAGCGCGTAAAAAAAAGGATACTTGCTGAACAGATCTCTGAATGGTCGTGTCCGGGGACTGCGATTCCTTCAGGAGCTGTAGTATTTGCTGGAGCCCCTGCTCGTCGGGTTTCCACTCGTACTCCATCTTGGTTTGCTGCAGTGAGACGGGGAGAGGGAGAGAGAGAGAGGGGGAGACACAGGTCAAACACCGCTCCGACACAAATGCATTCGGCTCTCACGGCGCTGGTTTCTTGAACGTCTGAACACGGGACCCTGATCGCAACGCAGCTTTCTCTCTCTCTCTCTCTCTATTATTTTTTAAAAAAAAAAACACTTCTGTCCGTCCCCACCCACCGTCAAACGTTGACAGCCGCCCTCACTGCCGCCGCGCCGCCAAGGCCCGAAGCCGCTCGCTCATGGCGACTTTTTCCGATCCAGTCCCAGAGACAACGGAACGCGAGAGAGAGAGAGAGAGAGAGAGGAAAAAAAACGTCGCTTTCTGGGTCCTACCGCCCCCCGTCACACATCCCCCGCCCACCCCCCCCCGAGTGAGAGGAAGAGAGAGAGAGAGAGAGAGCCCCGTCGCCTTCCTCTGGGTCCTAACGAGAGTCGTGGCTGAACTGCTCTGCTTCGAGGTGGAGAACCCGAGCTTTTCCCAGAAAACAAAAGAAAAACACGCTATTACAAAACGAAAACTTCGTTTTCCAGAATTGATCTTGTAATGGCGTGTTTTTCTTTTGTTTTCAGACAGGGCTTTCGATGCATGCGGAAGCCCACCGCCGTGGTGAAAAGTCTCGCACCTCCCATTGCACGGAAAGAGTTCCGCGTCCCGGAATAGCACGAGTCGCTCTCTCTCCGGAGGGGATGGATGACTCTCCTCGCCGTTGCCGGAGAGTACGAGGTGAAGGTTGGCCGCGGGCCGAGGGATTGGAACCCGCTTGTACCTCGGGCCCTCCCTCCGTTCCACCGTCGGCGCTCACATTTTCAGCCACTCCGCCCCCGAAACTCTGGAACACGCTTCCCCCATCTCTCCACCTTGCCCCCTCCTTCCCCATCTTTACAGCACACCTGAAGACCTTCTTCTTCGACCGTGCCTATAGTCACCTCCCCTCCCAACGGCGTGCTCTGGGAGCCTGTATAGCCTGCGTGAAGGGTGCTATATAGTCAGAACTGGACTATCAAGTCTGCCGCAAGAGGTTGATTTGATTCTGATATTCTATGAAACCCAGCTGATCTCCAAGGAGATTTATTAATCTTCCCATAAGGAGATCCTGCTTACCTTCCTCCAAAGTATGATAGTCACTAATTTGACATTTGCCTAGCGCAGGTTTGAGCTCTCATAAAGTGGATAGCAGGTACAAGGAACTCCTTGCAAGCTTCCCGGTGAGCAGCTCAGCATGAAACTCATGAGAAACCTGCAAGTATCCTCCTGCCCACAGCTGTTTAACACATGTGGAAACTTATCACATTGCTTAAGCATTTCAAAACTAAACTATTGATAGATCTACATGTGTGTTTTTCATTTGTCTAGTAAACGAGTGTGTACTCTGTCTCTACAGGGCACACCTTGTTTACCTAGACCAGGACATTTCGGTGCAGGTTACGGCCAAGGGCCACAGCTTTAGAAATCCAGAGGAATCCAGCGCGTTCATCAAATTACTACTAAAATTGCTGCTTGCTACCATGAACACTGAAATCTTACTGCTGTTTATCTGGCTAGGACAACCCTAACCATTTGGTTTTGGGCTTCCAGGGTTAACAAGTCAAAAGAGAACAATCACAGCTCCTAGTGACTGGTCTGCTCTAAGTTCCACTAATACGAATTTAATAACATGACAGAAATTCAACTGTGCCTTGGACTGTACAGCAGATCTGCGTGGCTCAGAGACCAGAACTGAGATTGCCACAGAGGATTGGCTCAATTCCAATATTCCATTATCAGGCTCGTTACTTTGGAATCAACTTGGCCCCAGAGAACCTGATTACCTTCCTCAAAGTAGGATGGTACATTTCCCGATAACTTAGTTTACTGTCCAGCAACTGCTAATCACTTAAAAAAATGCAACAATTGGCAAACTGAGCTATTTCTCAATTCTTATGGGGAGGGTAGAACACAGTACATGTCCAGCCAATCTGCTACAATGCACCCTGTTGCAAAGAAGAAAACAACCAGGTGATAGATGCAAATCATGCTAGCAGTTCAAAATATTGTTGAACACTTCAATAAATAAATTATTTTGAATCATAGAAATGACAGTATAAAAGAAGCCAATCAGCCGATGAAGCCTGTGCTAGTGCCAGTTCCTCCATTGGAGGGATTTAATCCTTATTTTTGGGTTCCTCCTCATATTATAAAGCATATTGTTCCTCTTTAAATGCTCATCTAAAGCCTTCCTTTCCTCTGCAATGAACACATTTTTTTTCCCCCTTCTTACCCTACATCCCAATTCTTCCAATGACACGCCTAGGTTTCTGACCGCTGGGTATGGGTTTACCAAACAATGAGAAGGATTGAAATCTTTTAGAAATTACTTTACAGTATATTCTGTGAAATGCTTTGAGAAGTCTCGAAGATACGATAAGGCGCTATGTCAAATGCAAGGAGTATTATTATTGAGTAAAAACAGAATAAGCTGGGAACACTCAGCAGCCCAGGCAGTATCTATGGAGAGAGGAAAGTGGATTAAAGTTTCAGGTCGATGACCTTTCGTCAGACCTTTTGTCCTTTCGTTCTGACGAAAGGTCATCGACCTGAAACATTAACCCACTTTCCTCCTCGAAATATGTTGCCTGAATTGCTGAGTGTTCCCAGTGATTTCTTTTTTATTTGAGACTAGCTGTACATTTTGAAGCTAATTTTGCAACCAAAGGATCCAATATGGAATGTAGATTTCAGTGATACCACTCACAAAATAAAAATGGAAGCAACTCCACAATTTCTTAGAAGGTTCTATTCTTTGGATAGCAATTAATATAGCTCATTTCACTTCGGGAGGACGTCTCAAAGTGCTTCACACAGTTGACTGGGTGTGGGGATGGGGAAGAGAAGCTGAGGAGGGTGAAGGAGGAGGAAAAATAGGATCAAAAGTGAAGTCAAAAAGATGTCAAGGAGGGCTTTAAAGGCAAGAGGTAGAGTCACAGAGACCCTGGGATTGAGTTCCAAAGAGCGGAGTAGAATGACAATTTGGCTGAGGTGAATATAGGCAATGATAGACTTTAGTGTGGTCCAGCCTGATCTGGTAATGGATTGTGAGGCTAGATTTGAGCCATGTTCACTCAGCAATTTGGGCCTGGGACTTTAGGGCATGGAACTGACTGTTATACCAAGGAACACTTGCAGTTCGGGAAGTGATGGTAGAGAAAGTGCTGCGAATGTCAATGAGGGAGTTGTGCATAAACTTGACAGAGAAGAAGCTTCAAGCAGGCAGAAGGCCAGAGAGCCAACAGTTTGTAAGACTCAAGGGCAGCTGTGAGACAGTGGGGANTTTTTTCAAGGGAGGAAAGGCGATGGTGACAGGTTTGGCAAGAGGAGGCAGTAAATTAAGACATGGTCAGAGATAAGATTTTAAGCCAAAGGTGCATTCAGTGGTACAAATGCTTCTTTCAGCAGATGTTAAAGATCCCATGCCGCTACATTATTAGGGCAATAGGGTGTTCTCCTGCCAATAGTTCTGGCTCATGCAAATATAAACAAAAAAATAATCATGTATTTCATTGATTTCATTGGGGGTGCTGCTGGCGCCAATAGATGCCACATTTGCCTGCATAACAGTGTGTGCAACTTGTTGTTTGAAGCATTCTGTGATGTTTGACGTAAGGCACCACGTCATAGCCAAATATCATCAATATTCCTGTTAATGGACACACTTCAATTTGCACTCATTGTTGTTTCTTGTAACGTAATGTAAAGAATAAAGAATATTGGTCATCTGCCACTTGTTGGCTCATCTAATTAATTGATTCCTCTTCTCCGCCCACCAACCCCCCCCCCCAAATGAATGGCTGAAAGCAAATAATAAAATTACTCGCAGTTCAGATGACTAACAGAGTTTATGGCCAATATCTGAAACCAGAGATTGAGTTACAACCTTTCACTCACATTTGACTAAGTACAATTCTTATTGAATATGGTGGCTGAAAGCTCGGTCAGAGGAGGTACAAAGGAAAAGACGTAGGCGAATAAACGAGAATGGTAAGAGAGCAGGATGCAGACTAGAATGTAGAACACTAGAAAATAACATAGGTAACCCATCGCACTCAGCAGGGTTACCTATGTTATGTTCTAACGGGATCAGCGGGATGAGACCTTGAAGGGATTCAAAGACCATAACAATGAATCTGGGCACTGGAATTGAGTTCCAGAGAGTGGGGAAAGAATGGCTGAAAGTGTGTCCAATAGTGGGCAGAGTAGGCGAGGGAAGCCTGTGTTTACTGAGCAGAGGGAGCAGTCAGGGCAGTAGGGTCACAGCGGGTCACAGGGTAAAGTAAGCTCATGGAAGAATTTGAAACCCAGGCTATTTATTGTATTTGATCTGCTGGTGGATGGCGAGCCAGTGGAGGATACCACAGATGCACCTGCAGAGCCTGGTGAGGAAGTAGGCATGGTTCTGCAGAGTTCTAGATTGTCAGCAGATTGTATCGGAAGGAGCTGGGAGACCAGAGAGGAGGCCATTGGAATAATCGAGCTGGGATTTGATGAAGGAAAGGATAAGAATTTTAGTAGCCCAACGGGAGAGGTTGTAGCAGAAGCAGGCAAAGTATAGAAAGACAGAGCAAGTGAGATCCAAATGTAGGGTTTGACGGATAGTCCAAATAAAACACTAAAGACTATTATCCCATTCCTTTTAAGTTTAAGCACATACTAACCTCAAGCAAAGCTGGCACTTTTCCCTGTTTAGGCTCAACAAAAATTATATGTCCATCTCACATATATTTCTCGCAATACACTAGTGATTATAACCTTCATGATACACTGTAAAAAAAGAACAAAATGTAGAAATCTTTAGAGGAAGAATTTCTCTCAGTGTTTTGGCAAATAATCCCCCACATAAAATTAGTCATTTATTTCATGATTGTTTGGGGGATACTGCTATATGCAAATACACACTCATTAACCTTTACAGTAAAATCCTATGAAGCGCTTTCAGACATCTC